TGGGCTGTGGTATGTGCAGTGGCAGTTGTTGAAAAGGAAGCTGTGTGTGTCCCAACCCTCTCCAGGGCTGCTTGGAAGTGGCCTACCTAAAGAGCAGGGAATACATTCATTCTTTTCCCTTTCTTAATGTGGAACTTGCAGCAACAGCTCTTGTCTCCTCCACTAAAATAGTTTTGCTGGCTTCTGAATATCCTAGCTCCATTTCAAATAAGGCCTGCAAGCTCTTAAACTTCCAAGAGTAAAGTGAAGGTGTTTTCCTACAGCCAGTGTCCTTGTGCCTTCAGCCTGGACTCCTTAGCTGGGACAGGTGTGGCATGTTCCTTAGAGCATAGAGTTGGCATTGGCTACCGCTCTTGACTTGCAAGTTGTTTCTGTGTAAGTAGAGTAAGGGTGTTTGTTCTCTCTGGATAGTCTCTGCAGATGATTTCTAAAATGCCTGTGTTCCCTGAGCTCTGGTCTTACACTGAGCTATTCCAAGAAACTTCCAGCACCCTTTTGCACTCCCTGAAGCTGGACTGTAGGTTTGAAATATGCTTCTGTTAACCTACCTTTCATTCAAAGGATTTGTGCTTGTGGGCAGTTACAAATCACAGGAATCCTGTTATGATGGTATTTCAGATCACTCTAATGTGGAATTAGCAATCCCATACTTTCAGAGCACCTGTCAAGAATGCCATATGTTTCTCCATGACAAATCTTTTTGCTCTTGCTCATGTTGAGTGGTTGTGTGTGGAAGGTTCCTTCTCTTCCTGCACATGAATAGGGCTCCTTAGATTGCTTGCCTTGAGCTGGTCGTGTCCTATTTTATATCTATACACAAACTACAGCAGTATATTTTGTTGCAGCATGTCTTGTACTCACTACTGAGTCCTGGAGTTAGGCAATCCAGACAAGACAGGCTGAAGAATCTTGTCAAGGGTTGTCTAAGCACCAGCTGCGCTTCCCCATGAGAAGGCCACCTGCCTTCAGCCTGCTGTCAGCACTGTCTGCTCTGCCTATGCATTGATCTTATTCAAATATTTCAGCTGAAAAAGACACCCCTTTCACTCCTTCAGTAAAGAAGTTTTAAATGAGGATGGTGGGTGACCCTGTCAGCTGCTTTAACGGGAAATCTCAGTGTGCAATCACTGTTATGTAGCCTGAAGAAAGGGAGTTATGAGTTCATCTGACGTTTGGACATGAAGCGTTTCCCTTCTGCTAAGGACTGATGCAAAGGGGCTCGTGTTGAATCAGTCTTGTTCTCACACTTTGGTCTCTTAATTTCTTTCTTAAACACACTAACTGCTTCTACTCTGGCTCTGGTTGCTTAGTGATTTACCGAGAAACTAACTTCTAACATAGGTGCCTGTAACCTTTTACTCAGAGCAACACTAAAGGAATAGTAACCAAGAACTGGATTAGTATTGATGGCAAAAGTTAGGGAGTAGTATGGGGCATTCTCCCCTGCCTCATGGTTTCCTGTGCAGTGTTAATTACTTTGAATTGTTAACTTACTGTGAGCCATTCCAATGGTAGCAACTTACCTTTCCATTTGTTTTTTGCACTGTTTTTTGTTATGAAATGATGTAAGCTAATTCCACAATGTATATAAATTGTATTTTTTTTTTTAAATTTGTATGAATATATTTTTATTTGAACTATGGCACTTGGGAATTATTCATGTAACCATAACATGTCTGAGAGTAAAATGTTTGTGTGTCTCCTTCAGCACTTTCAAGGCCTTTTGGTGTTTCTAATGTTGTTTTATTTTTGCCCTTTATTATAATAAAACTGGTAGAATATGGCAATATTGAAGAACATGATTTGAGGCAGATGAATAGCTGCTATTTATGAGCTGTCTGGATACAACAGTTTGCGCAGAAGGTGCTCTGAAGCTGGGCAAAGATAGGAATTGGTGTAATCCTTTAGGTTATGGACCACTCTAGTCCCATGTTCTCTCACAATAGGTACTTAAAAGGAAGGAATTATCAAATGTATGATAAGGAGCTGAATTGTGCACAATGTGCTAGAAGCAACTGCTGCTTTTCTTACTTGAGAACTCTTGCTTTCCACCTTCCTCCCTGTGAGTTAATGAAAGATGTTTGGACTGCAGTGTTGCACCTCTTGTTTTACAGGTGGCTTCTCCAAGATGTGAAAAATCTGTTTAATCTTTAGCTTTCATTTAGTTTGTGGCTGTCTTTCCTGCTTTATCCTGCTGTTTACCTTACAGATAAGAACTTGTGACAATTTTTCATATTTTATCACATGTTAACAGGCCAAAAAATGTAAGTGCAGTCTTTGAGGTAGAAATATCTGACCCAGAAGCTCATTGCCTTTCCATGCTTGTGCTGCTTTTCTGGATCAAGTAGCTGTGTTGTACAGGATGCATATAGTGGCTCTGATGCACTCTAATATGAAGCCAGCCAGCCAGCAGCTTGTCTGGCTTCTGCCCTCGGTCTCTTGCTTGGTGTGTATGTAATGACAGGGAGAGCCTGAAATAGATAAAAGCATCTGTTGGGTGGGGATGGCAGAAAAATCTGTGTTTGAGAGCTAAAGAAGTAGTGTCATGGTGGTCTTAAGCTGTGCTCCTAGCAAGGAATCAGGCTAGAAGAGAGTCATCAGGACAAGAGCAAGGGTAGCTCTGTTGCTACCTTCAGTCATAAATGCAGTAACACAGGAGGGAATAAGAAGCATTTTTTTCCTAAAATTGAGGTACATCAACTGCCTCTTTAGCTAACAGTAAAGGAGGAAATAGACTATCTGTCTTCTGTCTACTTTCTCACCTCCTGCCGCCACAAAAAAAAGGGCAGGAGATGTGTGTCTGTCCATGCTTATATACACAGCTTGACAATTTGGTGTTATGGCAACTTCCTTGCAGCCAAACCTACTTAAAGCAGCCAGCTGGACTGATGCAGGTACCAGATGCTTGGTTAGAGCCTTTGTCAGCTTTAGGGCTGCTTTGGGTGTCAAGATTATATGCAAGGTGATTCCTATTGCAGAGGATAAAAACAGTAAAATTTCTTGCCTGAAGAAGGAGATATCAAAACCAGTTATGAGTGGTGGTTTG